CATATAGTATGGAATATCCCTTTGGTCAGTTTGGGTCACCTGTCCTGGCTGTGTCTCCTCCCAACTTCTTGTTCACCCCCAGCCATCCCGCTGGCAGGGCAGTGCAAGAAGCAGAAAAAGGCCTTGGCCCCATGTAAACACTGCTCAACAATAGGTCCATAGAACAAAAACATCTCTGTATTATCAATGCTGTCTCCAGCGCAAATCCAAAACGTATCCCCACACTAGCTACTATGAAGAAAATCAATCCTCTCAGCTGAAACCAGGACACCGTGTCAAGGGTGGTGCAGATTTCTCCCACAATGAGCTCTACGTTGTCTTCCTACTCGAGACTGCACGCTGTCTCCTCTCCCCTCGCTGCCCGCAGGCAGTGCCCTCAGCTCTGTTGTGCTTTACAAGGGAGCTGCTCCTGGGCAGAGCCATCTCTCTGCAGCACTGCCCACTTGCCATGAGCCTCCTCCAACCCAGGAGCCCAGCCCAGCTCAGTAGTAGAGCACAAGCCTGAGGCAGCACTTTCTCTGCCCTCTCTGGGCTCCCTTCAGCTGTCCCTGGGGCTCCTGGGGAACTTAGTCTTCACCAGCAAGGTGTCCCAGGCCTTTGTGCCTTGAGGCAGAACTCTGGAGGAGAACAACCAGTGGTGGATGTGGTTAGGGGATACTTGAGCAAACTCCCCTTCAGTGGATGCTACTTGGGCTTAATATACAGCTGAGGAATGCGTTTTATTTTTTTACTGAGGTATTCCTTTCTTTTTATTGACAGGTTAGAAACATCCTTGTGACTGTGCTGCTTATTCTCCAAATAAAGCAAGTGGGAACTGGTGCAAATGAGCTGAAACATTCAGCTACTGACTTCAGTGGAGAAAGTTTGGATTTGAGAAAGCATGATGCAAGTCCCAGGTATCCAATGACAGGAATGGCAGGGTGTCTGTGGAGTGGGGGATGAGGGAGGTGAAGATTGTCCATAAAGTGCCTGGCAGAAAGGCTATTACTTTTCCTACATATTTATCTTTCATCAGGAGAGGCTCTGGATCAATAAGAATTGTGGAAGGCTGAGATCACTTGTTCTGTAAGCAGAGAAGTAAAGCAAGCTGAGGGGAAGGGGGAAGAAATCCTATTTTCCTATTATTTATTACTGAAATCTTCTCTGTTTGGCTACACTCCTGGAATCGTTCAAATAAAACACACAAGACTTGAAGAATTAAGGAAAATTATGCACAGAGGTTTGGCTTGTTAGGACATTTTGCCTGTTAATGAGCCCTCTGGGGCCATGTTCCTGAACTGCAGGAACTTTCAGATACTGAAAGAAGCTTGAAGGAACCTCTCAAGACATGAAAGTCAGAAGCACCTCGATCTGTCGTTCCCTTTAGACATTGGCCATTCCCTTCAGGGCATTGTCAGTGATGGCCCTCAGTGGCGTCAATCAATGTCCTCAGAAACTTGATTTGCTTCTGACTTTCATGTCTTTAGAGGTGCAAGGGAAGGAGTTCATTGCAATGTTAAACTGATGGTCTGGCCCAAAGGGATATTCCATACCATATGACATCATGCCAACTTTGGATGAATATAGGGACATTTTCCAACTAGAGAGATTGCGTTAGGTAAGTCAAAGCTCAGCTCAGCTAGTGTTCAAATTACTGAGGGGGGATGTAATGGACAACCAAAATAGATTTCGCAGATACTTTGGTAAGGAAAAAAAAAAATAAAAACAAACACCAAACTCAGAACAGAACAAAATAAAAAGAACAAAAAGCAAGAGTTAAGGAAGAGGTGGACACACTGGGCAATGGGGAAGTAGTGGCAAGGGACAGGGAAAAACAGATTCACAGTGCCTCCTTTTCTTCAGCTTTCCCTGGCTGGGTTTGCCTTCAAGCCTCCCAGGTCCTTGAGCCTCCTAGCAGAGTCTGTGGGAAAGAATTGCTTCCCACAGAGAGGGAAGACTATGGTAGGAATGGACTCCTATGGACACACACACCCATGGGAGAAGAAGGGATGCCCTGGGTTGCTGGAGGCCTGACCAATGTCACTGTGGGGATGTTCTCCATCACCCTGGACAGGTCACAATGATGGGCAAAGTTCCTCATCACTAGAAAAAAGTCAAACATCACAGCAATCTTCAAGTAGGGCAGTAATCAGCTGCCAGTCTGACCTAGGTAATTGTACAACCAGCCACTTGTTGACATGGGGCTTTCCCCTTTTGTCACCCCTCCTCTCCATTTTCCCCAGAATTGTTGCTCTCTGAATCACCCTGCTCCCTCCCTTTCCCTGCCTTTGACCCTTCCCCTGGACACAGCAAAAGCTTTTCACATTCCCACAATCCACTTCAAACATCCCAGAGAGGTTCTACATGGTCCCACAAACCCCCTACAATATTCCAGAAGGAGTTTGGTTCTTAGAGGAGACCCAAGATAGTTCTGTCTCTTTGTGACAAGATTAAAAACTCCTTCATGACCCACTTCAAGGTTTCACTAAGGATGTTTCTTTGGTGTCCATCCATCACTGAGCAGAGAACTCTGGTCTCTGTTATCTGGTGCTCCAGACCCTGGAGGGCTGGGTTGCTCTTGAGGGGAACTTCAACAAGTGTCAAATGGGGCTTTCCAGAGCCTCCTGAAATTCAGCCAAGGCAAGAGCAGGTAGGGTGGAATAATTACAGCAGCCCCATGCCAAGGGTCTGAGAGGTCAGAGAGCAGCTTTGCAGAAGAGGCCCTGGGGCTCCTTGTGAGGAAGCCAAAGGTGAGTCAGCCTTGTGCGCTGGTGGCAGCATCTCTAGGGACTCCAAGACTTCTGTCGTGCACAAAGCTAAAGACACCTGTGGGGAACCAGGCCCCCAAACCCACCCTTGCCCTGGGCTCTGGAGGAATTGAATAAAAGCTTTCCATCAGGGCAGGAGAGCTGGAGAGTTAAGCCTGATCCTCCAAGGAAAAATGAGCAAGGATAGGGAAGTGGTTGTCATTATGTCCCTACAAGAAGGCGAATATCAAGCAGTAGAAGGGCAGCTGGCACCAGAGGAGCACTGAGCCATTTATTATGAACTATTTATTATTTGTCCCCAAGACCCTTTCATCCTCCTGCTACTCTACAAGCAAGCTCAAGGACACACACTTCTAAGATGCATCCAGTACACAGCACTTGTCTTTGTGAAAGACCCACACATGGTTTGTGCTGAGGGTCACTCACCTACCATGAGCTCTGGGTGAAGGCCAGGGCCTCCCTGAGCCCTGTCCTCAGGGCCTCCCTGATCTCCCTGTTCCTCAGAGTGTAGATGAGTGGGTTGACCAGGGGCATGAGCACGGTGTAGAAGAAGGAGAGCATTTTGTTGAGCTGCCTCAGGGGGGCTGTTCTGGGCATCATATAGGCAATGAAGAGGGTGCCATAGAAAACAGTGACAATGATGAGATGAGAGGAGCAGGTGGAGAAGGCCTTCTGCCTGCCCATGCTGGATGGCACCCTTAAGATGGCAGCTATGATGCACACATAGGAGACCAGCGTGAATACAAAGGGGAAGACAATGCTCAGGAAACACAGTGCAAAAGCTAGAGCTGCGATTAGTCTGGTGTTACTGCAGGTGAGCTCCAGCAATGGGATAATTTCCTTATGCCCACAGAACTGCAACTGTGATAAGAAGACTGTGACTACTAATGAAACCCCCAGTCCTGCTAGCCAGGATGCAGCCGCCATCTGGAGACAGACCTTCCAGGTCATGAGGTTTGCATACAGCAGGGGCTGGCATATGGCCAGATACTGATCGTAGGACATGGCTGTCAGCAGGTAACACTCCGTAGTTACAAAAGAGCCAAAGGCATAAAACTGAGCCATACAGCCGTGAGCGGAGATGGTTCTATTCCCAGTCAGGAAGCTGGCCAGCAGCCGCGGGAGGATGGTGGAGCTGTAGCAGGTCTCCAGGGAGGACAGATTTTCCAGGAAGAAGTATATAGGAGTGTGCAGATGCTGCTCTGCAACCAGCAGCACAACTATGAGGATGTTCACAATCATGGTCACCAAGTAGATGATGAGCGAGAGGAGGAAAAGTGGTGCCTGGAGTGAGGGGACATTTCCTGATCCCAACAGAAGGAACTCCAACAGTGATGTCCCATTCACCTTTCTCCATCATCATCATAGATTCATCTTCTCTTTTCCCATTTTCAAGAGCAGGGTCTTTAGGAAAGAACATTTTTGTCTGCTTTTGCCTTAAAAAGGATGTGTGAAGGATGCTTTAGAAAGGGTTTTTCCCGAGAAAATCAAGTGATTCACTCCTATAGCAGACAACACAGTTGGCCCTGTTAAGGGCTCCCTGGCTAAAGAAAGATGAAGAAAAGCTTCTCCTGGAGGAAGATTTACTTCTGAGCATGTCCATGAATTGCCCCAGAAAGTTGCTCTGTTCCTGCTCTGGCATTCACAAAGAACATCCTTCTGCTCAGGTCCAGAGAGTCATGTCTCCTCTGTTCAACATTATTCCCTGTAGCAGCCAGCTGAGATTTCAAGAAAAGAACTTTAAGACAAGAAAGCAATGTCTCAGAGAGGCAAAATAATATCCAACCCCAATAAAAAGCTTCCTAAGTATGTAAGGCCAGACACCCTCTCTCATCCCCAAAGAAAGATGGACACCGCACCTGGTGAGACATCTCCATTTATGAAAGCTCTTATTTTAGGAAGAAACAATTCTCCCCTCCTCTTTCCAATAGCAAAACCCAGGTCAGGGAATATCAGCTGAGATGTATAAGGGACTGTGTAGTAGGATTGTGTGAGTGGATGCCAAAAAGATGCTCATTTGAGACTCTTAGGGGAAAACAGTGAGAAAAATTACTTTATGCAAGGAGAAACTGCAAGGATGATAATTCAGTACACATCTTTTCTTTCCTCAGCAATGGTTCCTGAGGGCTTTGGGGTTGTCTCCCTGCACACTCCAGCCTGGCAAAAGGACCTTAGCATGACACACATTGCTTGTGGGGCTCCCTGCTCAGCACCAATTCCCAGGATCTCTGTTCCATGGTGCCAAGATCCTGAGCACATCTGGGAGAAGGAGGGAGCTGCAGTGGGAAGGCATGTAGGAAAGGACAGGACTGAGACTCAGGTCTCACTCTAGCTGTCACTGTGCAAAGAACCACAGGCTAAATAATGACCCTGAGGTCTTGCTCAGGAAAAGCTGTCCCTACCTGCCGTCCTCAGCACGAAGGGGCAACCTCAGCACTGGTGGGGCCTGGGAATGAAGGTCAAGGTCAAGGTCTCACCCTCTGCCTCTTCTGCACTGTTGTTCCATTAGTCTGCCTGACACCCGTGGTCTAGGGCTCATGCCTTACTCTGGCCTTGCTGTTTTCTCTCCCAGCAGTTCTTGTGGTGAATCTCCCACAGCATATGAATGTCCCCTGCTCTGCGCAGTGTCCTGGGGTTTATAGCACAAACGAGTCTCTAAAGGACCATGCCACAGTTCAACCTTTCCCAGGGACTGCACAGAGTAAAAACAATATAATTGACTCCCCGTTGAGATGAAAGCTCTGAGATGGCAGAAACTGTGTCAAGATCTTGAGGCAGACATGACTGCCCAGAAACATGAAGTAAACTGATGCAGTACAATGGGCAGGGACATTTCTGAATTTGAGTGCAGGACAGGAAAGTCCCCAGAAATGGGATTCACCTCACTTCCCTGAAGATGATCATACTTTCCATGGTTCACATAGAATTAGAATGTGTCAGACCATTGGAGCTGAAGGCACCAAAGCAACCAATATATCCTCTCAGTTAGGATTCCCCTCTCTGAGACGAGAGGTGCGCAGGGGCCTCCTTAACTCCCCTGATAGCACAAGGGGACCATGATGGGTTGACTGAAACCAGCAGCTAAACACCCACTCTGCCCCACACTCACTCGTCTCTCCTTAAGGACAGATAGAAAACAGAAGAAAGGCAAAAAAAGTCATGGATTGAGATACTGACCATTTAATAAGGAAAGCAGAAGATGTGTACACAAGCAAAGCAAAAATGGGAATCCATTCACTACTTCCCATGGGCAGGCAGATGTTTAGCCACTGCCTGGGAGGCAATGCCTCAGCATTTGCAATGGTTGCTTGGTGTATTGGGTCTGGCTGAGATGGAGTTAATTCTCCCCACAGCAGCCCTCATGGTGCTCTGCTGTGTATTGGTAGCTAGCAAACTGTTGATAACACACCAGTGTTTTGGCTACTACTGAGCAGTGCCAGCACACATCAAGGCTGTCTTTCCAACAATTCTTTTTCCCCAGCAGCAGGCTGGGGGTGGGCAAGATCTTGGGAGGGGACACAGCTAGGACAGCTGACCCAAACTGACCAAAGGGATATTCCATGCCATATGACGTCATGCTCAGCAGTAAGAAACTGAGAATAGGGGGAGGAACAGGGCGAGGGCATTTGTTGTTTCATTTTACAATGTT